GACATTCGATTTGAAAAGCCCGTCCACTTGCGGAACAAAATTTGTTTTAGTTTTTTGGATGTTCAGGGACAAATTCAATTACAAGACCCAAGTTTTCTTGGATTGAAACGAAAGGTACTTTGTTGCCTGTAAATAGGATTTACACCATTGAAAAAAATACTTTGAACCAAATGAAAGAATCTGCTGAAATAAGGCTGCATTGGTCACATTCACCAATATTTATGCACCTAATGTGTCAAATTAGGGACAAATCCAGACATTGTCATTTTCTCTGTAAGCAGACCTACAGAAAACATGCCAAAGTGCACGTTTTCGAGAAACCCTTGGCGTAGTCGAATGTGTGATTAAATTTGACAAGGTCTAACTAGAGGGTGAGAAAAATTGTGACTTTGCTGGCCTCCCTCTGCAGGACAGCTACAACAAAGAGTGCAGCCCGAAAAGTCCGCTCCGCTGCGAAATGGGAGATCTTTCAGGAAAGCTGGGCAGGCTGAACATCGGCACCGGGCCTGCCATTTACACCGACAGCAACCTTCCTCTAGTCGGAAACTTTTCTGGTTCGTCTCTGCTCGTGCTTTGCAGTTCCAGAAGCTCACATTTGACTCTTAAATGCTTACAGTGCTTGGCCGCTCCATCATTGTGTTCGCCAAGGATGGCTCCAACCTCCGAAAGGCGTGTGCCAACATCAAGCTGGACATACACCTTGTGCGCCACGTCTCTGTGCGCAAATTTCCCGGGTTTTCGAGGTAATGTTGCATAGCTCACCACTGGGAACAAGTTCCAATCTCATTTGGCCCTGCAGCGGAGCTTTCATGGACCACATGCGGACCATGCTCAACGCAACAGACTGGCTCGTAATGGCAGACTCCCAGTCAGAGCAAGATATCCTAGAAGGTCAATGCACACAGCTGACCGTGCACTTCTTTGGTATGTTCATTTTTAAGTCCTTTTCCTTATCCCAGAGAAGTACAATAGTGCTGGTTAGGGGCAGAACCATTTTCACTCCTGGAACATGTAAATAGTGCCATCACCGTTAGCATGGGTGCTCCATTACCAATTCCTGCATTCTACTCAAGTTGATGTGAGCTGTGCAAATGGTGAATTGGACACCATGCATTCATCGACAATTGATAATGCTGATTTGCGATACAATCTGTGCAAGGGACATGAAAACAAACACCAATCTTTTATCTAAGCCACCAGTGTTGTACAGTGCATGTGGTCTGTGTAGAGCAGTCAATCTGTCATTACTACATACGAAACTGACCCCCATGAGTGCCATTTTCATTTTCTTGTAATTACTGTCCAAAAATGAACATGCATGACTGACTCATTTGTAGGTCGAGATAAATGCGCTCTGCAAAAAGTAAGTGTTGGTTAGATTCAGAATTTCAGAGAATTTTTGTCTTTTATAACTTGTGTTCAGAGTGTATGGATAAATCAGAAAAAAAAAATTGATTAACCCCCGATATGCACTGCAATGTCCATTCACATAATCAGATTCGTTCGTGATTATGTGAATGGACCAAGTTTATTATTGCATCTCGCATTGTGACAATCGGCAGCGATTTGTGGTCATATCTGTCGTCTATATTTTCAAGCTACAAATTTCACAGTGATGTGATTGGTCATAGTCATTTTGGAGCAGAAAACGGAACTTTTACAGCATAAGTAAACCCCAGCGCGGATAACAGTTCGATCATCTGCATCCAATTAGCATCTGTAGACTCCTCATCCGAACCGCATCTGCATTGTTTTTAATAATTCTATCCGCATTCCCAGACTTTGTATTTGGATCCGAACCGCATCCGCAAAATTCGGAACCGCCATATCCCACCCTCAATCCACGCATTCATTTTACGCCATGAAATGAAGCATTGACATTAAAGAAGCACCTGGATGGTATCCTGTAAGCCGTCTGCTTACCTTTGTACAACAAACTTCTCACATCAGAATACGGTGAAAGTCCTTTTACCATATTCTGTCTTATCATATTTAAAAAATAAGCGATCATCCAAAAGGTATGCTCGAAAGGAAGGACATTTTAATATTTATTTTCCTTTTTGCTTTGTAAAACCCACTTCAAACAGACACCTATTTTATAAACAATAAAATTAAAAATATGACAGACTAATAACATTGTCATTTTATCGAGGCCAAACATTAAGAAAGTGGGAGAGGAAAGGCGCTCACTCCCCGCAGCAAAGTACTGTGTATACGTGGTAAGGTACAAGTACACCACTGGGAAAATATCACAATATTCATTAACGGCAACACCTCCTATCGGTTTAAGTTTGAAACATGAACCCTCAGCTGCATGCTCGGAACCATATACTTAAAGAAACTGAGTGCCAACTGTCGAGGAAAAAAAGAAACTCACACATACGCAATGTTTCACTTGTCAAGGTTGCCGTTAGAAGAAACAGATTATCAACGACATGGGCGGATTCAGACTGGTTTGCCTCTCTTATATTAATACCCGTTAACGGGAAGTCTTTCCATTTATGCACTTGATGCTGGGATGGCATGCACAAACTGTGCTACAAGAATGAGGTGCGAAACTCATACTGGCGCAGATTCCACCACTCCAGAGGATTGGATTCAGTCTCCTTGATCTACTTGTAAGCAAAAAAGCCACTTGCAGGTTTCCTCTACCTTCTTGTGGCTTGTACGTTTTGGGTTTTCTTTGCCCAAAAAATGTTTTCCGCTCTTTCCCTGTCAAACAAGAACACACTTTCCCGGGATGACTGATGTTTTTGCATTCTTTACATATCCTATGGACAGCTTTTTTGGCAAGATCGAACGTTCTAAAGCTTTCTTGACGTAAAGAACAATTTTCTCCCCGATTGGTACCATTTATCTACTGGAGTAATTTGCTTCCGCAATACATTTGATGATGCACTTTATAGTATCACTCACTTATTCACTCTACACTATGTGGTCGCACATGTTTATGGGCCGCCTTGGCGAACATGTAGATCCGCAATCCGCCAAATCTGATTAATTTTTATCCGCATCCATCAGTTTACTGCGGATATCCGTGGGTAATCCGTGGATATGCAGGGCTCTAAGCATAAGCACACACTTCATTTTCATTCATACCTCAGTGAATATTATGTTAAGATTCATGAGTTGGTCTGTCCAACTAAAAGACTGTTCACTTTGCCTTTTCACTTCTGTGCAACCTTTTGTTAGCATTAATTGCAAGGCAGGTTCGATTCCCTCAAACACAAAACGAGCTGTTTAATTGTGTGTAGGAGCCCTAGGCATGGCAACAAGGTGCTGATTAATGGACAGTGTAAGCTGCTATGAGTGGTTATTTTAGGTACGGAGTCTAAGGTAAAACAAATAGCATATTCCACTCAAACTGCTATCAGAATAATTTTGAGTACATAAAGTGATGTTTCGTTCCAAATTCTTATGGTTGTAATAAAACTGCGATCCTTAAAGGCTAGACTCCATGGGGCGAATATGCTGCGAAAAATCCATGAATTTTGCCCGGCGGCTTTTGCTCTGCGTGCAGCATCAGCTCAGTGGCTGCTACGTCACGCGCAAAGCGAGCGTGCCGTTGGGCGAACTTTGTCAGTTATTCGTTGCATAATTCGCCTCATGGAGTTTAGCCTTAATTGATGTAAAAAACAAAGCTTTTATCATTTGATTATGAACATCAATGGCACTTTATATGGAGGACTTAATGATAAATCTGCCTTCTTGAAGATAATTTCCAAACTTCGATCGGCTCACTACTGAAACTAATATAGGTTTAATCTAATCTACTGAGTATGCCACTGAACAGATGCAACCTATATGAAGGTGATAACCAGAGAAGAGAGTGGACATAAAAGAATGAACCTATAGAGCAGGCCATATAAATCTTATCGCAATACCGAAGGAGCCTCGCAAATCTTGAATCTGAAAAAGACACTGTCGGAATAATGCCATCTATTATGTGTGCTAGCTGCAGTTTTATTCAGAAACCCTTGCTGCTTTCTTTTTTTTTTAAGTGCACGAGGCTTGCTGTGTAAAGTTCTAGTCCAAAGGAGTGCTTTTCCCTTTGCACATGGTTGTGTTGCAGTGAAGCAAGTTGCATAAAATTTTGATACCTATTTAACGGTTGCTGCTTCACTGCGGTACTTTAGTGTGTGTTGAGAAGTGCACTCAACAAAGCTAATTCACTTGAAAAGACCATGAATATGAGGAATATTCCAAAACTTATAAGTACTGTCAGCATTTGATACAGAGATCAAACAGAATAGTATGTTATTTGAGGCGATAATCAAAAATTCTGAAAATGCACCTAAGCCTTTTGTAATTATCCGGCCGAATAGCGGGGCCTGATCATTTCCATTTTCAGTATTACTTTAGGGTGTCTAGCGACCGGGAAAACTATAAATTGTAAGGAAAATTTTAATTACCAGGAAAAATCGGGGAATCGGGACAAATCTAGTTTAAGCCTTGGATTGAATTGAGGGCGCAACACCAGGCTACATCCAGTTAGAGCTACTAGATTTAGTAACAAACAGAAAATCCGCAGACCTCAATCCAATCCAAGCCTTAAGTCAAAAGTATCCGAAGGTGTGCATCTGGCGGCTATGCTGCCATTTGGTTATTGATGTGTGTGGTTGAGCGACGTGTTTGGATCGTGTTTCCGGAAGTGGCCTCTTCACTGACATTGTCGGCAGCAAGAAAGTGCTCTTTTAATCTGGAAGGGACGAACCCGAATATTTCGGCATATGCAAGTTGGACTAAACCCGTAAAAAATGATCCTCACAGTGCTCAATGCCTTATGTTGTAATGGTCTTATATAATTAACTGCCTCTACAGTGGTCAGGGAATTTCACCAGAAATTGTCAGGGAATTTCAAAATAATAATTTGCCAGACACCCTGTAGTCAAGTGAAATTAAATTTTGGTGAAGTGTCGGCGCAAATTCCTCATGTTTTGGCAAAAAGGAGGAGGGTAAGCACATCACTGATCTCACATTCAAAGGGATTCATAGCTGGCAGCCATCCAAAACTTGAGCTAGGAGAGATGCAGTTGCACAAAAAGAGCCTGGAAATAGTATGGACACGGCTGCGTGACCAATCAATGTAGTGCGATTCCTTTGCCTTTTAGTTTCACAGGGAAACATTATTTTATTATGAAGTTTCGAAGATATATAGAATGAGAGAGCCAAATTGCTCCGAAACAGAGGATGTGAAATTGCAAACAAAGGCATACAAGCAAATTTGAACTTAATCATAAGACATGAAAATTAATTTCAGTGAAAACTCTGGAAAACTTTGCATCTCTGGGAAAAAAAGCTAACTGCGCCAGACACCCTTTAAGTTTTGGCGACAAAATGCGGCACCCTCAGCCTTGCACTATTTGTGCTGAAACCAAGTGGCATATTTGAGTGCATCCAAAAATTAAATAAATTTACTTGCACTTGGATCAGTGCACTAAAATCTGGTTAGTAGGTTTAACTTGACAGGTTTGGACCCAATTAGGTGCAAGGATTGTCATACTTGAGATTTGGCAGAGTAGTTGTCATTTGTTAGCTTGAGTAGTTCAAACAAGGGTAGAGAACAAAAAGGTGCTTTAAATCATAATTTAGATTGCAATTTAAAGCAGTTTAAATCTGACTGGTGTAACTGCAAGTTAAATCAATCCTTTGCTGCAAAAATGATCCCAAAATATATATTTTTTTTATTTCCCATTTGTCCGACTTGATTGCTTTCTATATCCATTTGTTTTGTATTTATGTCAAAGAAACATCAAGCAAGAAAAATATTGGGCTGAACACGAGCACATTGCAGTAGTCTTCCGAGCTCTCTTTCTACCTTCCACTTTGTCAGTTCCGTAAGGTCCTATTGCAAGTATAAATGATAATGCGTAAGAAACAAAAACTATACTCGGTTTCACATTACGGCAGACTCGAGCGGGGTCTCCCAATCCAGCTTTGTGAATGTGATACTCCAAGGTCAGGTGGCCTTGGATTGGCTCCTTCTGGCGTCTGCTGTGCATCGCTGGTCAGGCATAAGGTGAAACTGAGTTTAGAAAAGTAATGTCCTACTGCAAGCAAATCAACATGTGAAACAAAAAATGATAAAGCTTTTTCACTATCACAGTTTTTGTTGTACTATGGCAGGGTTAGTCGATAAAAGCTGTTAATTACACTGTGCTCTAAATTTACAGGAATTATTTCTTCTACATTGTTTTAGTGATCGGATGGATTGGTGAATCTGCCATAAGCGATAAAGACTCGCTATTTTATAGCTTGTGTTTTAAATCAAATAAATAAATTTTCTTCCACCATGGTTTAAAGAAGGCAATGTTAGGGACATGCAGCCTGCCCGCTATGCAAGACAGGTTACCCAATCATATTTGAAGCCCGAGAAGATCCCTGCCTAGAAAGATGGCCAGACTCAAACCCTCGTTTCAGGGCCAGAGGCACACCGTCGCCAGATAGAGTTTGGCAACCTCATCACCCTCGGAAGTGTGCGCAGGCAGACTCCAACAGGGCTGAAGCTCATCAGGACCTTCTACAAGCCGTGCAAAACCCGTGAGTGCCCCCACCGCCAGTTCGAGCAGTTGTGGCGTCGCATGTAAACAGGCACACAGTCACTTGTGCAAAACATGTAAGCTTTAATTCTCTAACAATCTCCATAGGTCTCTCTCCTGTATTTCAGGGCTTAAACAACTGTGCGGTAAAGAGCGGCACTTTTAGCCCCAGATAAGAAAAAAAAAAACAAAAAAACCTCGTAGTATAGAACGAGACTCCAAAGCCTCTGGCAAAAAATGGTCGGCAAAAGCCTCAAAAGCCTGGAGTACTTGAGCAATTGGTAATAAGTGTTGCAGCCGAACTGCCAGCGCTGCAGCTTGACTTAGAGCCACCGGCAATAAAGCGGTTAAGCGAGTGTTGCGGGCGAGTATATCTCAGGCAGCAGTGTTGCCTCCTCCATCTCTTTCAGTCGACGAGGAGCTCAACGACCGGACTGCTCGTGTGGCAGTGTTGCCCCTTCCATTGCTGCTACTGCTGCATCTGCTTCTCAGAGCACCGTGGCTACAGCGGGACCCTTGAGTAAGGCACTGTGGTAAAAGCTACCCAACACCAACGTTTATAGATCAACTGGGTTGTGGAACTGCAAAAGGTCGCATGTGATTACTGTTGACTACCCTTGAATGTGCTTCCGCTGGCGACAAGCAGCTTTTGGAACATGTAAAAAAGTTGTTTGTAAATTTTTCGTGTGTTGCTGTAGGTATAAAGTACATTTTAAGTGCAATACATATATGGTAAAGACAAATGTTCCGAGCTGCTGAGAAAAATCTGCATTTCAGTGCCCCCTTTGAAATTCAGCACTGCTAGTCTTTCCAAGAAAGCCCGCTAGCAGATGCAAATATCTTTCTGCATTGGCACCGCTGCATAAAGACAGTTGGCGACAGCTTTGGATGCTGTACAGCAGTAATTCTCAAATGGGGGTCTGCGAAGGCATTCTAGGGATCCGCTAAGCCCTGCCTTATCAGTCAAGCCTGGCGATAAAAGTTGCCTTTTTTTTTAGATTGAGAAGGAACGTTCAAATTTTCGGCCGAGTTTTTTTTGTGTCTGTGTGAATGAGAGAAGTCTACTTTACCCTAGCCCTTAGTTATGTCTTCTATTAAATCATAATTAACCTATCCCTCTCCCTTTCTCTCACCACCAACGGGGTCCTCCATCATCTTTGCGGATCCATAAGGGGTCCGCAAAACATTAATGTTTGAGAACCACTGCTGTACAGTTTCTGCGAGAAGTTCCACAACCTAGTATATCCAGTAACGTTCCCGACAGCGTCATAAGCTGGTTTCTCTGTTGCAGTCCGCTACATGGGAGGATGGAGCTTGGCTCGCGACTGCTTGCGTGCAAGCACCAGGAAGGCTGCCGCCAACATGAGCAAGCCAACAAAGAGGCAAAGCAGAAGAACAAACAGATGGAAGCCCACTGTGGGAGCGGATGGCTGAGCGGCGGGGATGGCGTTGGTGGCATTGATCATAAAACCCAGAGACCAGCCTAAGTCATAGCCCTTGGCTTTCTTAATGAAGTTGATGCCAGACCAGGTGGCGTCGCTAAAGCCATACTTGTCGAGCAACAGGTCTCTGACGAACATGGACTGGAAGCAGTAGTTGGCCACGAAGCGGGCGGGCGTGACCAGCGTCTGGGCCTCCTCCCAGGTGGCCGAGCACATCAAGTTGGAGTTGTTTAAGAAGGTGTCAAGCGGCATGCCCGTAGCATTGAGCGCTTTCAGGGTGTAGTAGAATGCCGAAAATGCCTGTGAAAAGCAACACCGGCATTGAGAACTGCTCACCGCTGGAACCAGACGCATGTTTACCATGTACTTCTGACCAGTAGGCACGGGAACTTTGGGTGGCTCCAGACAGGTGCTGTAGCTCTTTTTGCAGGTAGCAGGATTCATCAGGTCGGCAACAGCACTGTGGCACTCGTTTGCGGATCCATTCCCGACAAAGGTGAACACCTGCAGGGTACACAATAAACAATCTCCACTTGTCCCCATCACCAGAGCCTCGTGTGTTTTTAACTGCAAAGACACTCACGGCATCTGGATGCTGTTGCAACCAGCTTTCGGTCTGAGGAGTTATTGTGCAATAGCTCTCAAAGATGTCCTTTGCAGTCAGGTTGAAAGTGTATCCAGAGTTGTGGCATGGGCTCACTATGGTATCCCGGTATTCCTGTAAGATGAAGGGCCCTACAACCAAACTGCTGGAGAAGCCTGTTACCAAACTCACCTGTTGAGCAATGATGTGAGCTAGGAACCTGCGCCTAATCTCATTGACACCATAGCAAAGATAGGACACTGCAAAGACCCTGTACTTGCGGCCGTAAAGTGTCAACTCAGTTATGTCCTCGGATGAGGCATCGCTGCTGACTGGGAAGGCAACCTGTGTTGACGCGCCACCCAAGTCCAAAGCACCGAAGGTGTCCTCAGTGTGGCCCTGCACAGCAGCCTAGCCATTAGCGGTGCCCGCAAGGCCCTGCTGTCAGCCTCACCGAGTCCTGTGGAATGACTTCCACCAGGTAGTTAGTGGAGAGCCAGGCAAAAACCCCCTCGTCGTGGCCACTCAGGATGACGGCCCGGCGAAGGCCATACGGCTTGAGGGCACACTCGGCAGCCATAAGGATGGCGTCTGCTTGGGCTGGCTGCGTGAGACTGCGCACAAAAGCCGCCCATTCACTCCGGGGGCGGTCGGGAGGGTCCGATTGCGGCGCCTACTTGAGAACACGCATGCCGGCCGTGGCCCCGAGGTAGACGGGCGCCCGGATGCCCCCCAGGAGTCCGGAGACGGCCCGAGCGAGGTCCTCGGCCGTGCGGCGGGGTTCCATAGTGCTGATGCCGCCGTCGGACTCTGCGTGGTCCACTTGGACGGCGCGGCCGGTACCCAGGTACTTGGCGCCCTGCCAGCGGTAGAGTGTGGCCTCGGTGTGGCTCGAGCCGGCGTCCACGACGACTCCGTGCACGAAGGGCACCCGGCCCCCGGTCAGGCCGTAGGCCATCGACGCGAGCAGCAGCCCGAGCAGGGCCACGACCCCGCACACGACGGCCAACAGGCCCCAGTTGGCGAGGAAGAGCAGCGGGGCGCGCTGGCGCCGCAGGTACAGCGTGTCGCCCGAGCGCACGCCCAGGGCGTTGAGCGACGCCCCCGGGCGCAGGGGTCGGTTGGAGCGCGTGTACAGAGCCAGCGCCGGGTCGTACGCGATGCCGCACTCGTGCCAGAAGGCGCCCAGCAGACTGTCGGCCGTGGCCCCGGCATGCGTGCGCACCGTCATGGGCGCCAAGTCCGGCCGTGCCACGCACTGCAGGTGCACCTCCATGCTGGGCAGCGGCTTAGCAGGAACCCTGCGCGCCCTGGTTCATGTAGCGACCGCCGAGCGGGGCTCCGGTCGGAGCCCGAGCCGCGAGCAACGACGCGCGCGTGACGCGGGCCTGACGCGCGCCCTGCGTCAGTCGCTGTTTGCGGGAATCGATCAATGGAAGCTTATTCGGGGACCGTGGCTCAGGCGGGCTGCAGCCACGTGCCCGAGCCACGGCAGGTGCGCGGACAGCGCCGAGCTACTTCACGGCGCGGGGCCTCCGTTGCCCTGGCGACGCGCCGTAAATGAAAGCTGCTTGCGCGCCCGACGTCAGCGTGACGTCGCACTCGGAAAAGTTCGGCTACTCTCGTTGACCAAATATGGGCAGCGCTCCGGAGGGGAGGTACCGCGGCGACGGCATGCGACTTTCGGGGGTTCGTTGGGGCACTTGCCGGTTCCCCACGAACCCAGAACCTCGGGGACGCCTAGCTGCGGCCGAAAAGCCGCGCCTGACACGGCCGCGCCGAGCCCAGGCCCCGGGCAGCAACGCGGCCCGACGTTTTGCCATCAGAAGGTGGCGCAGTGAATGAAGCCGACGTCACGGCGACGTCAGGCACGGAACGCGCTCCCATTGGTCGGAGCGGGTTCCGGCTCGCCAAATAAGGCAGCGGGGCGCCCTGGGGCCCATTCATACGGCAGCGGGTGTCCCCAAGCGCGTACGTCGCTGCCACACGGATGGGGAGTCCCTAGCCGTCATGACGATGGACGGCCTGGACACGCTGTCTCGCGACTGCCTACAGTTTAACCTCAGCTTCGAATCGTTCAAGGCGACCGGCGCCGGAGGCCTGGCCGCTCCCGAGGGGTCCGACGACCCCCTGAACACGCCCGTGTCCACTACCGCCGAGCTGATCACCTTCTTCGCCACCGATGCCGTCATCCCGGACCCCGTGCCCATCTCAGGTAGGTCGGATCGAACAGGTGGCTGCCTCCCTCCCCCACTCGCGCAGCCTCTGACGGTACCTCTCCGCGCGCAGCCGAGGCCTCCCTGCCGGACAAGGGGGACCCCTACGGCAGGCTCGCGTACCGGGGCACCTTCACAACCGCCTGGCCCGGACCAGCAGACGCCGGGCCCTTCTTCGAGCAGCCCGAGCTGCAGCCCTTCCCTCCCCTTGAGGGCTCCTTCAAGGCGCCGTACGCGGATCCCGAGCCCCCCGCCAAGTACCCCTGGTTCTCGACTAGCTACGAGCCTCCGGCGGCCAAGCCCGAGGAGCCCGACCGGTCGACGGCCACCCTCGCCGAGTACAACCAAGCCACCAGCAAGGGCCACGAGATCCTTAGCCAGGCGTACCAGAACAGCCCGGTGCCGCTGAAGCTGGTGCCGGTCAAGCCGCGCAAGTACCCCAACCGACCGAGCAAGACGCCCGTGCACGAGCGGCCGTACGCCTGCCCGATCGAGGGCTGCGACCGGCGGTTCTCGCGCTCGGACGAGCTCACCCGGCACATCCGCATCCACACGGGCCAGAAGCCCTTTCAGTGCCGCATCTGCATGCGCTCCTTCTCGCGCTCCGACCACCTAACCACGCACATTCGGACTCACACGGGCGAGAAGCCCTTCACCTGCGACGCGTGTGGCAGGAAGTTCGCGCGCTCTGACGAGCGCAAGCGCCACGCCAAGGTCCACCTCAAGCACCGGCTCAAGAAGGAGGACCACCAGTGAGCCCCCACCCCTGTACATAGTGCTCTGTACATAGAAGCCATCTTCACGCGCAAAATAAACCCGTTCCAGTGGTCACCTGGACAACGCACTCCCACTAGCCGAGTTCCCATTCTCTGACCAGCTGCTAGACTGGTGTCGGGTTGCCCAACACTTGGTCCCCCATTTCATCTGAATGCCTCCTCACCTAAATGGTGCTGCCTTTTCCCAGCCTTCATTACTGGTGTGTCCCTCGTTCCTACACCTGGGCTATGTCTACCAACTGTCTCGTTTCACACATGCACACACACCATGGCAGCGAGTATGAACGGGACTGAAGCTAACACATGCCTAAGGATGTCTTTCCTCTGCTCTCGGGCACCTCTATCCTTTACAAATTGTTCAGATGCAGCTATGTTTAAAGTGAATGCAAGAGTTCAAAGTTGAGTAGTGAAAGAATGGACAAGCATACCAAAAAAAGTTCACATAGTAGGAAGTCTTTCTAACAAAAGTAAAGATTTTTTTTTTCTTTTTTTTTTTGGGGGGGGGGGGGCAAGCTGGTTAGGAAATATTATGATCTAAACTCCGAGACACAGAGAAATAAAATAACTGACGAGATGACAAAAATTCATTGTGTCGTCCGTTACTTTATTTCTCCCCGTCCTGGGTTTCCGATTACGACAGCTCAAAATGCTGTTTTCAAGTATATGCTGTATCACATATAACTAACTATAGGCCAACATTATGCTGAGTCAACTGACATACCTGTACACAGCTTAATCTAAAAGGTTTGGACCAAAAAGGCCCATACCTTTTAGACTGCTTTAGCCAATGTTTCGTTGAATGGCTATAGACTGATAGCAGCAGCAAGGGCTACCCAAATTTTATACCACCAGGGGCGGATTTAGAGGGGGGGTCCGGACGTCCTGACCCCCCTCTTGATTTCTGCATGTGTAAAATTTAGGGCGTGAAACGAGGGAGAGGGGGTTCCTAAACAAATGGTACGCTGACCAACACCTGACCTGACCTGACCCCCCCCCCCCCCCCCCCCCCCCAGGAAATTCCTGCATCCGCCCCTGTATACCACATTGGGAGACAAACTTTTTTAGATTGGGGAGTACAATTTCAAATGGCAGATGGGCGTAACCAAGCAAAACAACAAGGGGGAAAAAAAAAAGAGCCTGTTAAACATATGAAATGTTAGCCGTTGCCATGCAAACTGAATTCATTTCTTCCAGGCATGACGGCTCATAAGCTATGGTCTATTCAAGGATAACAATGGACGATACAAACTTTAATATCAAGTTTTAAGATCAGGTGTGGCCCATATAGATATGTAAATTTACAGCTGCCAAACCGCCCTGTTTTAAGCTGCTGTTCTGCGCCTACTCAAAGAAGCGATTTTACCCCTCCCAAAAAGGTATTTTAAAATCCACTCCCGGCTGGCAAATGCCGGTCACGAGTTTATATAAACTACTTATGTGGAATAAAAAAAAGTCCCTTGTGTGTTACTTTCCGGCTCCCCAGTAGAAATCTCTTAAAACAGGCTGATTTCTTCCGCAAATATTTCCAGAGATTAGAACACCACGGCGGACTACGTGCGTAAACCCAGCTGTTGATTACAATAATAATAAAAAAAAAATATGCCCTAAAAAGAAGAAAAACAAACCGAGGGGAAATGCTCCGAGCTCTAAGTACACTATAATCACACCAAAAACACCAGCGATGCATACATGTATATATATATATATAAAGCACAAAGATACACTGAAAAAAAAAAAAAAAACATTACAAGTAACAGAATGCCCGAAGTTTCATTTTGTGCGGCACCCCATCGCCAGCTGCGAAATATCTACTTTCTGGTAGCTTTACAGTATCTTTTCTGCACGTTTTCCCCATCGTATTCTGGTACTCGTCCCAACAACAGCGGCGATTTGGTTCGCAAAGTACGCTGGGGCGATTGCGGGCGGAGCGCGTCCCGTGCCGCGCCTCTCTGCATTTGTCGAGCAAACAAGCGATGCTTCTACGACGCAAATGTTTGGATGCATGCAATCAAGGTTCTCTGCGTGAGCTAGCCGGCTGCATCCTCCCCAGCGGAGGCCGGGCTTTTTAAAAAAACGCACACCGAGAAACCAACGGAGGTCCTCACCCTTGATAAAGGCAAAAGTGACGCTTCCCTTCGGTCACTTCGGCGATGTTGGGCCACCTGAAAATCTTCCCGGCAATTTGTGGTGTTGCTAGCGGCGTGGACCGGTACCGGACAATACTGCATGTCCCTGAGCCAAAACAAACTTGTAAGTAAGAAAACTACAAGGTCAGCCAACAATCAAGAATGCGTGAAATGTGCCAAGATTTCCGCAGCGTGAACTTTGCGCGCAAAAGGCTGGGAATTAATTGCGCTAGTTGCGTAGCTGAACAAAAACAAAAACAAAAAAACACACAAAAACTTATCAGTTAACAAATTTAAACCAAAAATTAGTATTTACAAACAAATACGTCAGTTGAAGACCGATGATATCGTTGCAATTATATAACATTTAACGTTTATGTTCGTCGATTTCTTCACGGAGAAGCCAACGTTGGAAAAAGCAACTTTAAAAAAAGAAAACGAGTAAAAAAACAAAAAAAAGCAAGAAACGAAATTTGAAACTTTAGTTCGATCGTTGGGTTGGTTCGACCGGTTCGACCCTCTATAGTTCGGCCAGAGATTCTGCAGAGATGAAACATAAATATCATAATCATTCGTAAAAGAATAATTACTAAACTTTTCTTACTGACATTTTGTTTCAATCATTATGCTTAAATTCGTAAATATTTAGTAAATTACCTGGCGCCACGGGTGATACACTGGGATCAACGTCGAACCGGATTTTTAGGTCGAACTTTCAGGGTTCGATTGGTAGAGTGCTCTAGACTGGTCCCGGGTCCGACGAAACCTTCGACTTTTAACCAGATTCCCCCGGTATCTAGATTTGATTTTTTTTTTTTATGCAAAGGGTTATTTTAATTTTATGAAGAGTTGCGATGAAAAGAAACTAATTCTACTCACCGAAGAAGGTAATATTTTTTTTACAGTATTAACTCAAATCAGTGCTGCCCTAAATTCTTCCCTTAGGCATCACCATCCAATCCGAAGCCAACTGGCCAGCCTGTCGCGCATGCGCATAGCAGTCAAACTTGAGCCAACGGTCGAACCACTGGGTCGAACCGTTGTTGAACTTTTCATACATTGCGCTAGACTTTTCATAAGAAGTTCGAAAAAGTCGAACGTGGTAGAACTCGAACCTCGGCCGGTTCGCGACACTAGAGCAAAGAGTCATCCCAATCAAAGTAGATATTTATAATAATAAAATACTCCCAAAGTCAACGTTGCCAAAGCTACTGGCGCGAGCGCATGGCTTCATGTTTGCGCGAGAACGCGTGCGAATGGACTACGAGATCAAACCCCATGCTCATACCAGCAGATGCTGGTACGAGCAGATACTGAGAGAATATACTTCAAGTAAAGCTGGTACTTTTACAATGTACTGAAAGCACTTGTAGAACACGCAGATATACTTCGTGCCATCGTTTTTTATAGGGGGTAATATATGTGATAAAGTTAAGATTTTTTTTTAAATTTTGATTGATAGTGAAACAGATGACTTACTTAGAACAGCAAATTACAGTAGCAGTGAGAATTCAATAGAAAGTTAGATGAGGAATGGCATGGCAATGTTCAAGACCAGTGTCTACCTTTAATTTAAAAAAAAAACGGGAACTTACAAGCATCTGAAGGTGTGTCTCAGTGATGTTGGAATAAAGGGATAAGATGGGCTTTCACCAAACAAAGGCAAAATTAATAAAAACGCAGAAGTCATGTGCAGAAGTGACGTTCTACTGCAGTTAGGTGGCGCTACTTACTACCCATTACGAAGATTACGGCTCTGGATAGACGGTAGAAGATTTCCCCCTGTTACCGTCTATCCGTTGAAAGGGTTGTAAGTTGTAGCTGGTTGTGTCCAGTTGTGTCGGTTGTTGATCTGTGTGCTGGCTTGCTCCTAGTGATCTTAGAAACACGCAAAATTAACGATTTTGTTGACGAAAATGAGAAAACCTCGTAAGTGACGGCGCAGTTGCTTCCCAGTGACAGTGCGGGAAGAAAGCGTCTTACCTGCATAGTCATAATGGAGTCCTGCTTGGCTGTGGAGCGAGAGATTGACAAAGTGTTGAATAAGTTTGGCACCTTGAGCGAGCACACTAAAAGTGCGCTGAGTGAATTGATCAACTACGTGCAAGAGTTGTACCGGGAACTTGGAGAACGTAAGTGACTGTTCGACCAATGCGCGAGTTTCCCGCAGACGTCTGCAATGTCCCTTTTCTGTGCAGTTCCTCCTGAAACTGACGTGACGACGTCGCACGGCATAGCGCTGACGCAATGCGCTCAAAAGATCAGGGATGTGAGCAGTTCCCTGGCCACAGAGCATCGCGATCTCCACGGTACGGTATCCAAAGTGGGCAAGGCAATAGACAAGGTGGGTGACCCGTCTCTTGTTCAGGCTCGGCTACCTCTCGAAAGTGCAGTCGCTGTAGCCTGTCATGGTGAGCTTTATTTAGACGACCCTTCAGCGGCCTACCTTCGTGGTCTCGATTGCGCGATCCACACGACTAGCGTTGACGCCGGCCGACATGTAAAATCCACTCGAAATCCTGCTTGACACGAGAGAGATGCTTCCGATTACATAGAGGCAAAACGCGGTTCTGAAGCGAGGGCGATTGTGTTTGCAGAATTTGGTACCAGACTTCTGGGCCACCAGCAGCGAGGAGGTGTTTGAGGGTGCAGAGAAAGCGGCGGCCCTGAACCAGGTGATTGGCGAGCACCTGCTGCGCCAGGGCATGCTGGACATTGCTGAAGAGCTGTCCCGCGAGGCGGGCCTAGAGTCAGCCCAAAAGGAGCCGTTTGCCGAGCTCAACAGCGTGCTGGACGCCCTCAAGCGGCGCGACCTGGGCCCCGCACTGGCTTGGGTAGGCCAGCACCAGCTGCAAGGCACCAGCCTGCACCTCCAGCTCCACCGGCTGCACCTGGTGGGACTGCTGCAGAGAGGCGCTGCAGCAGAGGCCATCGCCTATGCCCGAACCCATCTGGCACCGCTGGCACGTCAGCATGAGCACGACCTGCAAGTCCTCATGGGAAGCCTGGCATTCCTGCGCATGCCGGGAGGCCTGGCCCGTTCGCCCTATGCCTTCCTGCTCGAGCCCGCCCTGTGGGGTGAGACGTGCGAGGCGTTCACGCGCGACGCATGCGCCCTGCTTGGCCTGTCGGTGCGCAGCCCGCTGGCGGTGTGCGTTGAAGCCGGCAGCCTGGCCCTCCCCGCACTCCTCAACATCAAGCAGGTAATGCTGCAGCGCCAGGTGGCAGGGGTGTGGAGCACCCGTGACGAGCTGCCCATTGAAATCCGCCTGGGCTGCCAATTCCACTCGGTCTTCGCCTGCCCCATCCTGCGGCAGCAGAGCAGCGACGCCAACCCTCCCATGCGGCTCGTCTGTGGCCATGTCATCTCGAGGGATGCCCTGCACAAGCTGGCCAGTGGCAGCAAGCTCAAGTGCCCCTACTGCCCCGTGGAGCAGAACCCTGCTGATGCACGCCTCATCCACTTTTGATGCCTTCCTGTCGTGCCAAAAGGCTGTGTCGCAACAAAGGCTGTGCTTCAGCCTGGTGTGGATTTTTTCGAAGTGTGTGCTGTCGTGTAATCATACAAAAAATTTAGATTGCCTAATAAAACAATCGTGCTAGGGATGACGGCTGGGAACCTTTGAAAACCACATGCATTCTCTGGAGTGCAAAAAGTTGTACTAAACTCAGTTCAACCTTAAAGGGATACTAAAATTGAAACTTAAAATATACCTCTCGTTTAGAAATAAGTTAATTATTTCTATCTGCTAATGACAATCGCATGCTTATATTTTGAATGCATGGCTATATTTTTCGTTCCAAAGGACCGATTCCAGCGAGCGCTCGAAGATCAGCTGTCGGAGAGCGTGATGCATCCCAGGAGACGTGACGTCAGTATGGACGAGCACAGGCAAAGCTGCTTGGGGGCTGGCGTGGTTATGAGCTCCGCCACTTAGCGTTATCAATGCGTTACTACCTGGCCGTTTTTAGTTGCCCCTCTCCGCTCCCCTCACTGTTTGAATAAGCTAAGAGAAAAAGGAAATCTGGTTCGACGGGACTCATGCACACGCAGCTTGCCGCTGTACTTCCGCGGAGCGGCGCTGCTTTTAAGTGCATAGTGACGTAACGACATTCGGTTTATTCCTTTTAAATAATGCTGTCATCTTTTCTAGCAAAATATTGGTGTCTCCGTGGTGTGGCCACAATGTGGTTGACGTTTGGACGACAAAAAGGATGTTAGAAATTCGTTGAAGTATCCTTTTAAGCTGCAGCCAAAGCTACAAGCGTGAGCTAGTCCGTGCCCCTTACTTTGAGGTGTGCCTTTCTGGCACGAGTACTTCTTTTGCAGAAGAAGCTTTCAAAGCCGCAGTCTCGTGCTCGGAGCCTTGGCTGCAATCTTGGCGTGCAAGGGTGAAGGGAACTAGGCCCGACGTGTGGACAGCACAAACATGTGGAGACAAGCTGCAGGGCCTACTGCACCGCCCGGAACCAGGTCTGGTTGTCTTCACCGTGTCCCAGGGGTCTGAGCTGCTGTTTTAGTACAAGGGTCTAAAACACTTGGCCCAGATATTGTTGGGATGCAATGCCCCATTCTGCCCGAAGCGACAGGAATGCTTGCGCTGTAGTTGTCAGAGATTGTGTCTTTTAGACGTGGGATAAAATAGATGCTGTCCAAAATTTTGGTGAAAACAAAAACCACGTACGAAGCCTATTGATTTTGATTTGCCGAGCGAGTTCTGCAACATCGCAAAAGACGGTGCGCGCTTTTGAGCAATTTAAAATATACCAGCCCATTCACGAAGTGCTGTTATTTTTAATCTTTTCATTGTCCTCAAGATTAGGTCGACGGTAGTCATGACTCGTGCAAGCAATTCCGAGCTATGTATGTCGCTGGCGAAAAGGCAGGATTTTAAAAATTACAAAGTATGAAATTTGTTCCCCTTGAAATTTCTGGTGCGGCGTCGTTCATAGCCTCGGCTACGTTGCAACACCGAGCCGAACTACTGCGTTTTCTTTTTTACCTTATCACATTTACTCCCCCCCTCCCCGACATTGTCATTGACCCTGCGCCGCCACAACATGGCAGCACCGGGGCCGGTGCCACCATGTTGTGCTAGTCAGAGGGTGCGCGGTTAGCAGACTGGCGTCGTAGGTAAAGAAAACCAGTTTTTGTTTTTACTGAATTTCTTGCTCGGGTAATTTTGTTATTTGGAATTTTTGTGCAATGCTTCCACCACACTCGGGCACCTCTGTGGTAAATCGTAGCCCGATACGGTCACTTTAAAGGCTTCTCCTGGATTCGGGACCCTGCTGTAGATATGAAATGCTGATGATTTCCTAAGCTTATGTATTACTTTTGAACATTTGGGTTACCTGCAATATTCCAGATACTTGTTTGCATTCCTGCATCATCTACTAAAATTTCTGCAAATGTTGGATCAGTGATTTCAGAGAAAATGTTCATCATTACAAGCAAAATGGCAAGTTTAAAGAGACTTTGTAACATGTATGCCCTGGGGCAATTTTCAAAGCACTTGCTGGCCCATGGCTCTTGGTTTTTAGTTTTGATACATACTCTTCACTTACTAGAACTCAAAGAATTACGCCAAGGTCTTGTTGAAGTTAGAAAGCTTGCACTGGACGCATAGTTTCTACTGCAGATCTTAGGTTGCAAAAAACATATAGTGACTGTTTTTTGCATTATTGTATAATGTTAAAGATAAAATTTGGTATGCACATTGTTTCATAAGGTATAGAAACCTCTTGTGCCATGGAAATTTGTACATCACTAAAAACATCATGTCGATCAGTTTCATGCTTTGAACTACAGCATTCATCTACATCATACAGTGGGAACATCGAAGTGAAATACTTATTAAACACAAACTATGTTGTTACCCCGTCATTTCTTGTGAATAAATCCTCGACAAAACGGACATCAATGCAATAAAAATGGAGCATGTAACTTGGTAAACTAAAACTCTGCCCTTAGTTTGATAAACAGTCATGCAGCGGTCATCAAAGCATTTCATCAATTTAGTTTCAAGCATTCATCACATGCCAAACATGAGAATTGTATCTGGAAGTCAACTTTTATACTCTCCATGAAGTCAACACTCATAGTACCAAAAAAAGTACCAAAAAGTTGATTCATGCTTACCATGAAAAGTACTAGGAAAGGTATCTGGAAGTCAACTCATACTTTCCATGAAAACTATCAGAAAATGTACCTGGAAGTTAACTCGGTTTCTATTAAAACTACCAAAAATGCAAATGTGGAAAGGAAATACAAGCATACAAAATATATTTGAAGTACTACTTTAAGCACTTTCCAATGCTGTTGGCTAATTCATGGGGCTGCAGAGAAAACATATGAAGCTGCATGCACTCTAAATGTAGCCCTGCAACATGCCCAGGCCGTGCCCGTGTCTAGGAGTAGAATAAACTACCAACCTAACTTTGATGCCGCCATTGCGCTGACCACACAACAAATGCAACCTTTTCAGCTCGTTCCCAAAGTGGCTCTGTAAGGGCAAATCCTATCCAGAGCAGTCTTATTGAAGACAAATCTTTGATTAAAGGGATTGTCCGGTAAAGTTTTGTGTTTCTGAAAACAACAAAATTATATTATTGCTTTTAGTACTATCTTCCGCATAATATCCAAATTTGTTATCCTCCATTGCACAAGTAATTCAATTTTAAACAGAGAACAACTGCTCAGATTGCGCTCGCAACACGCACAGTTTGTTGGCAACAGCGGAAGCTCAGACGTAACATTATGCAAAGAGAACCACGACAGCTTTTACTGCTTTCGCAGTAAAATAACTTTGTTCTAAGAAAGACAAGATTTACTGTATTGAGGGAAGCTCAGTTCTTCGATGATGATCTTTATACGCATGTTGATCAAAACTGGGAATAAGTCGGCGCCCGCGCCTCTGGCATTACCATACCTGATACACCTGATACGTCGTCCCCGCACGACCAGCGATGCATACTTGCGAAATTCGGCATGCAGTGTTGTATTAATGTTAATAATTGACTTAACAAATATTGGGGTGCCTTTTAATGAAATAAATATCACATCTGGCTATATTTCGGCCATGTCTACGTGACCAGCGCAAAAACTTAACAACGTCAGGATATCGCCGGACAAGCTCTTTAACCAGAGAAATGTTGTAATCGCTTCAAAGATTCACCATAAACACATTTTTTTGCACGTCCCGTAGTAGAAAAAAAAAAAGAAAAGCAAGTCAAAAAAAAGAAAAGAACCCCCCTAAGCAAAATTGCATTGACTCAAAAGTACTCAGAGTAAAGTCCCAAAAATGCAGCCTCAAAACATGCTCAGAATACACGCACCACATCGATTAAGAGTGCAAACGGAGCCACCAGCTGCTCCCTTTTCTCCAGTACGAGTAGGTAGGAGAGGTCACCGGATGAGACGGTGGAGTCGAGCAATCCACTTTAAGCGTACTGCACTAGAGTACCTCCCAATGCGGGGATTACCACTGCGAGCAGCCAACCTTGTGGAAGCAAGCAAGAGCCATTGAGTGTATGACGTTCCGGATAACAATTTATTTATATATAAAAAAAAAAAAAGAATGTGCAGCAGTTTCCCCTCTCGTTGATAGAGGGATGTCCCAGAGTCGCAGTGTTCACGTCGCACGGGGTCTGCCCCGTCACGATGCGGCCGTCGAGGGAGCGGCCGGAAAGAGTTCTTTGGGGCTCCACTCCATGGCGTCTTCCAGGCGGTAGACGGAGTAGATGGCGTTCCTCTGGAGGACGCAGCTGTCGTCGCCGCGCCGATGCACGCGCAGGTCCAGGCACTGAGAAGGGGGAGCCACCTGGCGCCGCACGCTTAGGTCCAACACCTGGCAGTCGGAGCTCGGCTCGTCCCAGCACGGGGCACACTCCTTGTCCCGCAGGTGCAGCTCGAAGGGCAGCAGCAGCCTGCACACCGCTTAACTCATTCACATCCTCTTTCCCTGTGGCTTGTCATCCGCAGCGTGCCATACGACGGCATCCTTTCTCTTGCAGCTCAAAGGATAACATCAAAACTATTCGAGCTACTGACCTGGCGAGAATGGTAGGGTGTACAAACCACCACAGTCTATCCAGTTCAATTGTCTCACTCTGCAAGCAATACAAATGCGTAGTGTCCCATAAAAAATGGCAAACGCGAAACCGGATGCTCCGCTCTCTTTGCCCAGTGCATTAGGCCGTAACCCATTTCGACTCCGTGAGCCCTCTGCCAGTAGAATTGGGCCCCGTGTAATATACAATGTCCCCCCCCCCCCCCCCCCTCAAAAAAAAAAAAAAAAAGGTTTGCAGTTTTTTTTTTTTTTTTTTGCTGCAAAGATAAATTATGCATCGCTGAACACTCCTCTCCCCAAGTGTAGCACTAGCGGTCCAAACCAGGTGCTTAAGACTCAGAACCAACCGTTACCTTATTCAAAAGTTATAAGGGCGGAGAATAAACATCGAGACGATTTAAATCATGACTGAAATCATAATTTAAATTTGACCTTTTTTTTTTGCAAATATAATCTCGAAAATGTTTTATTTATTGTTTGTATGTTATTTATGTTTTCTATGTGCATCTGTTTTGTATTTAACTCAATGAATCACCAAACCAAGGTTTATACCTGGCTAAACACTAGCACAAAGCACTGGTCTTCTGAGCAAATAGAAACCTTGAACTTTCTTTTTAAACCCTCCACTTCATTCGTCAGTTATGCAACATCCTACTAATAAGAATAAGAATCCAACACTTGAAAAGTAATGTTCTATTTCAAGAAAGTCAAAATGTAATAGAAAAAGCACTTAAAAAGGCTCCTTAAAAAAGAACAAGAAAAGTTTTTTTTTTTAACAGTCTAGTTGCAACACGCGTGTCAAAAAATTAATTTTCAGCGAAAAATAAATTTTTTTTAGAGCAATATTGAAGGTCCAAACGCGATTTAGTCGGCAGTCACCTCCTTTCCAATTGTTGTCTCTCTCGGCATTTCGGGTGCAGGGAGGAGGCGTGGATCGGCTTTGCCTTCAGGACTGAGATGGTCATTCCGGAATGACCCGCGACGTCGTAGACTTCGCGCGCAGAATTTCAAATAGATCTCTCGCCGTCGGTATTGCCCTAAAAATACCTGCCACCAAGCGGTGAGCGTAGAAAGGACCCGGATGTACACGATGGCACTGCGGTCGTATGGGCTCAAGGATCCAACCGGTTCCGAGCGTTCCGAAGGCATTCACCGAGCAGGTCTGGCTTGCAGTTTGGCGGTATGGCAGCGCGAATAGGCTCCCGTTCTGAACTCATCTTTACCCCGTGTTTGATGTTATTTTTGGCCAATGAAGTATCATGCCGAATTAGTGTTTAATCGCGCAGCAAATGCAATGCGAGCCGCCCTGCCCACTTCATACAGCCTATCCAGAACATGCTTTAGTGGCGCCCTCGAGCCGTCGACATGGAGTGCGGCAGCCGTGATCGCTCGCTGAGCTCACTACCCCTCCTCTAGTTCACGGCCACACAAGCCAGGACCAGGGACATCGTGAAGGAGGTTATGTTTTGCTTGTTTTTGTAATTTTAATTTGCCTATAACTTTTAAAATAAAGCAAAATTCGAGAAGAAAAAAGTTTCCTTAAATTCCTACGTTCAGTGCGCTTAGGTTCGCTGCAAATTAAAAACCAGTCAAAAAGTTGTTGCAAAACCCCTTTAAAGCTTTTTCACAAAAAAAAAAAAAAAAAAAAAAAAAAAAAATTCAAGCTGTTTTTGCTTTACTGTGGCAGGATTAACCTTAAACTGTGTCAAATTTACAGTAATTCTTCAACATCGTTTTCAGTAATTGGATGGACCGGTCAGTTTTTATTGATCAAACAATTTTATAGCTACAGTGATTTAAATCAAATAAATCCAGTTAATTTTTTAAAATCATTTTTTCAAAAATTATGTTTAAAAAAGTCGTTTTTATTTTACTTTAATTATAAGAGTCTTTTTTTTTTTTAACTTTTAATGGGAATATGGGGTTCGTTCTCAGTAAGTGGTGCCCATTCAGCTCCATATATTCAAGGGCAGTCAGCTGCCATTTTCCCATTGAAAATTAAAAAAAAAAAAAAAACGCCTTTGACAACTTTTTAATAAGATATGGGTTAGTTTTGAAACTTTGGCATCTGGTTTGGACTGCTAGTGCTACATCTGGGCAAAGAATGAGCGTTCAACAATGCAGTTTATTATTTTTTTTTTCCATAAAAAAAACCTCAATTTTTGTTTGAGACTTTCTGAAGTAAAAAGTGCAGTGGCGACAATTTAAACCACTCCATTACGAGGAAAAAAGCACACAGTGGCAAATATATGGATATCTGTTCGTGTTTACACAACACATAAAAAATGTGGAAATGACAAGAACATGTTTCACCACATTTCGCTCTTGCCATTGCTTACGAGCCAATAACAATGTCACTTAGTTTAGGCTTGTTCACGGTGAATTTCTTCAATGCTGCGTTTGCAATGAAGAAGCGGTAGCGCAGCACACGACAGCCACATGAATGTTGTGTTCTCGCGTTTTTCATAATTTCGCCTTCATGGCATTTGTGAGTTTCACTTAGGAATTTTCAAGGGACCTACTCATTGGACCAAGTAGTGCCCCGTGTGCAGTATGTAAGAAGACTGTGAGCCAATCGTCGTGTGAAGGCGTACAAGAGCTGTTCCCTGCAGTTTTATTCTTGCCGGGGAATAGAGTAGAGTGGAAGGCATCAAACTAGGTGATAGAAACACGAGCTGGCAATAGAGCAGCTGAGAAGCACACACCCCTTGGAAAATTTTCAACAATCCCTTTAAAGTTGACAATAGACACAGTTCTAGGCCAACAGGCATTCCTTTCTCCGGAAGCCTCGCCCCACCTGGACCAGGTCGGCCCGCTCCGACATTTGTCTGCGGGAGGCCCGGACTGACCTCTCGTAGTGGCGCCTGGTGCAAGTGGCTGCACTGGTGCTGCTCGGGTCACCTCCAAGCTGGTCGTACACTTGTTTCCACTGCTTGCGACCCGTAATCTGGGGTTGCCAAAACATCCACAGTAAGAAATATGATGCAAACCCACGGCACTTGACCTCCAGCCACCTCGTCCCGCCTACCTTTTCGTATCCTCCTAGCCGCTGAGAAAACTGGTAGAAGTGGTACAGGTCGACTGCAGAAACAGAAAGTGCATATCAACTCGCCCACTCTCCACTTTGTGACGGTCGCCGCCAGACATATACGGCAGCAATTATACACTGGGAAGCTCCTGCCTAAACGCAAAACTTTGTGCATCCCGGGAGGTGTTGCTGTCTGCTATGTCTTTGGGGAACTATATTTGCTTTACTCTCACGGTGTTTTCCTTTGCTGGGGCTATTTATAGTTTCGAAATTTGACACTCTGCTCAAGTGATAGGCTGGAGGAGGCCACTTCCCTTGTGGGTTGTTCCTGCGGTAGTGGATTTTGAAAGTGGAGGATGAACACTCGTTATCCAACAGCAGAGGTTCTGTCAAGTACCCCTGATTCAGGGACGAGATTGCCGGAGTGTTGAATGGAAGCAGACAAGCAAAAATAAAACCGAATGGAAGAAAGGCGACAACTTTTCACCCTCAATATTTCCTTTCAATGCTTTCTCAATCTGGACAGCTTGCAAGCACCGTACATGCTCTTGCTAGACAAGTTAAAAAAAATTATGTGCATTGACTTATTCTTAACACTATCCTATTTAAAGACAAAAAATAAAAAAATAAACCACTAAAATATCATGAAAAAAAAAAAAAAAAAAAGATTGCGGATTCTGACTCTTGTCAGCTCAGCCACCCTGAATCACAAGGTGTATTTTATTCTCTATATTGAGAATCTTTGTAAATACCATGGCTCAGATTGGTTTGGGGCATCTACAGCAAATGGACCTTTCCACATACCGACGGCACCAGCCAGTGGCTGCACAAACTAAAAATCGAGGAAGTGACCTACCTGCGCTACCAATCGATAATGGGAGCTACGCTACCAGTTTCTTTGCTCTCCGAGCTGCGGCGCATGCCCAACGTGATCCAAAGCGTCCTTTTAAACGTCATGTTTTTCTTTCCGTTCACTTTCTTTTTTTGTGTAACACAATTATATATATATGCTGCAATTACGCATTCTACTTGCTGATCCACAGCCTCCTTCCGAATTTCCTAGATTTTTCGTGCAGACTTCCGCCGCTTGGCATCGGGTGCTCGCGCGTGCGCAGAATGCTTCTCGGAAAAGGTCCATTCAAAGCTATCTAATAGGGAGATGTCAACACCGATCATCAGCTGTACGGTTTTGTAGGCTTAGGCTAGGTGGAGCAAGCTACACAGGGTACGGTCATTACCACCCATCTGGCGACGACAATGTCACGTTGGTGCTGCGTTCGCGGTATGACATGTGGCTGACCTAGCCAATTTCAAGATGGCGAGCTGCTTCTCTTTTAGTCTTTTGTGTAATACCTATACAGCATGTCCCAAAAAAGATTTACACACCAAAATGGCCCGTAAAAACCAGCGACTTGGTATATCAAGCTGTAGCTTTTGTCGAAGACATCTTTTACTGGTCTAATTAACATACTAAAATTTCTATTTTTTTTTTTTTTTTTCACCCAAGAGAACTAAAATGATAATACAAAAACTGAATTTTCCAATGGTGGAGCAGCAGCTGATGGAAGGAGATCGAATGACCGCCATGCCGTCGTTTGATCTCGTTCCACCAGAGATGGTGCTACGAATGCCGGCAAGCCGCGCAGTGGGAGCGGTGACGGACTTCGCGCAGAACTCTCTTTCAAGCATGCGTTCCAGTTTGTGTTCCTGATATCCGCGAAAACGCAAGCTGATAATTCAATTCTCAGCTCGCCTTTTTAGCACGGCGAGCGTTACATAATAGACAGCGATAAATAAAGACGCCAAATGCTACTTTACAAATCACTTACTCTTATTAAGGGGACACACCCCCTAGGAGGGTCGAATTTTGAACCCTTGGCTTAAAATTAATGAAATTTATAGGGTAGGCTGGTGGTCATGTTAGAGGGTGCATAACAATATTTCAGGTCTGTCGGTTAAGTGGGAAGAAAATTAGGGCAGCTTTTATCAGCAACACACCTACATTGTTTAGTTAATCTATCGTCGGAAAACTATCACAATATTCAAGATTTTTATTTGCTAGATTATAGCAGAATGCCTAGGAGGCGTGGAAAGCTTTTTGTAAAAAGTCATTTACATATTTCTATCTCTTCTGCAAAATTGGTCAACTTCTTGGTCTTTTGTGTCTTCGACGACAAAATGTCAACATTTTTTTATAAAAGGCATCCTTAAAGTGACAAAAAAATTCCATAGCCGCATTCCTTATTAAATTTCAGTCAAGAAAAGTGAAGAACGAGCCTTCCCTGTATTGCCATTATCAAATGATGAACAGTGAAAAGCTATAAACCATAGCGATTTTACAGGAGAAGGAAGAAGGGGTGGGGGGGGGGGGGGAAGGGGGCAGTTGAAGGTTCTACCGTATTTACTCGAGTAATCGTTGCACTGTTTATGAAGAAAACCTGTGGGGTCGCTTTTCCGCGGAGCACGCGGATTGACAATCACCGCGATCGACAGCATGACTCCAGCGGTCTACAGTACAGAGATAACGTCTTCGCGCAAAGATACCACCTACGAAGATTGCATTTGTATGGAGAATCGTGTTCTCAATCTAATTATTCGCTATGTTATTTATGTGCAACGCAATGGTTGGCTGTATGTGTGCTTTGCGGGAAAATAGAAGAAAGGGCCTCGTTTATAAATAGTGCGGCTATTACTCGAGTAAACACAATATATTACACCGTTCATCACTCCACCCAGCGCAGCCTCGGAGAAGGTTGATTTGAACATAATGGAATAGGATGGGATGAGTACAAGCTTCCCAGCGACTACCTCCAGGAGTTTATTGATTTTAAGGCATCAATGTTTATTGAAGAAACACTTTTTTGCAACTTTTGTCGTGGAACAACTTCGTATTGCCAGTGGCAATGGTGCCAACGCCAAATCAGGTAGAAGAAATGTTAATTGATACAATTGCATTCTTCTGACCCTAGCACTCATTTACACATGGATATTATTTTAGTTTTGAAAAATAGGAAACATTTTGGAGAAGTGGGAATCAAACAAAACTACACACCAATAATATCTGAATATTCAAAAAAAAACAAAAAAACTCCAAATTTGATGAAAAATAAACTTAGAAAACACTGAATCTTAGTTATATCGTTTGGTGGATTTAAATGTAAAGAACCTAGACAGACGCTCTTGCATGTTGCATGGCATAGGGCAGGGGTGGCCAAGCTGCGGCTTGCGAGCCGCATGCAGCTCTTCTTGCTTCAGTGTGTTCTTTGGCAAAGGCACGTTTAGGCGTCAGGCACATGAGATTGTGACGAATGTGTACTCTAGACTTCGTCAGCAGTCTCAAACCGCGCCATTTTGTGAAGTTGTTAAGTGAACATTGGAGTTGACTGGCACTGGGAAATCTAGGAAAAGTTGATCTGCCGACGGCGGGAAACATTCTTTGATGAAAAAAATGGGTCAAAATCGTGTGTCGGGGCAGCGGTCAGAGGCAGAGCCACGTGGTGTCGATGGAGCGCCGAGAAAACACATACTGCAGTGTGACTGGAGGGACGTGGTTTGCTTTTGTTGCTGTTATGCGTTTTGCTAAGAAAGGAAGCTTTGTTCAAATTTGGAGATAAGGTGGTAGTCGACCGCTCAACTCGCTTTTTACGTGGGCTCCAGACGGCTCAGGCACCACGGCAGAGAGGAAGACAGGTCTGGGCACCGAACATTACCAACTTCCTTGTTCTTACTTCCATCTCCGTGCGGTCTTCCTCTGTCCAACTGCGTCAGTGAAACTATCGTCCGCAAAGCCCAGCAGCCACCAAACTGGGATTTTATTCCAGGATGCAAAATGGCGTTCTTAATCATGTAGCAGACGAAATGTCTTCCTTTGACTCCTCTGTGCAGACGCTGCACAGATTGATATACAAAGTCCAGGCAAAATCATGTCCTATCGCAAAAAATTGAATGGCCCCGGCCACCCGTGTCTTTGGGTATGCCTGCAGCTAAGCTGAAATGAAGTATAGAGGTTCACGAAATCTGCTAGAACGAAAGAAAAAACAAAAACGTGGGGAGCAGCTCTAATCACTGCTTTACACAACGAAGGAAAGGCACGAGAGAAGAACCAAAGCACCAATGTTACGTCATTGCCCAGTGTTGCTTGACTAGCAGCTAACCCGATGGCCACCTGCTAAAGAGCAGTTGGTCTTGGCTTAATATCAGTTCTAGCAGGGTATGCGGCTTCACTCTGACGTAATATTTTGGCTACGATCACATTTTGTGTCACTAAAGCGATACCAGTAACTTAAAGGGACACTGACAGGGTATTTATGCTCGTTGAGGTTTTTAGTTGTACGTGACATATGAGAGCCCAACTACCCAGAACACAATTTGCGGCTCGAAATTCGGTTTCGTTCTGCCCAAAAACCGCCGATCAAGAACTGGCCGATTTGAGTCGCGCTCACTTTCTTTTCCGTGGTCACGGGCCGTTTTCTGAAGTTTAGACGCAACCACCAAATTGAATCAAAGTTGTTGGTCACTGAAAGCACACACTCAATATTAAAAATAAAAAAAAATACGAGACCCATCTTTAGTGAATTCTAAAAAGCTGCAAATAGGTTGATTAAAAAAAAAAAAGTTGCACAGAGAACCGGAAGCATACTGGGCGTTCACTGCGTAATTCTCAATATGCTGTTGTTTCACGTATCATGGGACTCGCGGGGACGGCGGCGGCAGCAGACGACGAGCGTTGGACCTCTACTTCAGAACTGTCATTCGCGGTACCGGCGAATAGACCAATCTCACGAGGAGTTGCGCGACGCCACCGCTGCCGCGGTGCATTCTGGTACCTGTAGTTCTCCCCAGTTTTCCGGCCGCGTCGGCGCGCATGCATTGTACGCCCGGCTTTTGGAAATTTTCGGGTTAGCACGAGATTTTTAGCCAGGTGTTGACTCATCGTTTTCAGTCGGTGGCTTCACATGTTGTATGCCATGGAGCTATAATAACAGCACCAGGCAAAAAGGCCTCGGATATTATGTCTTCCCGCAAGAAAGCAGCATGGCAAAGGAAGGTCGAC